CACCATTGCCTTCTGGTAAATTCCATACCTAAACTGCGAGATTGGGCAGTATTGACATACTGTACTTGTACAAGATGAAGCGGTTCATCTCATGCATGGGCTGGAAGACATTACTGGCATTGGTTTGGGGAAAACCATTCCCCAAGATCTCACAAGATGTTGGGGAATGTTTTATTTTTTCCCAACAGGTTCCTGTGGTGTTGTACAATGCACGTGCAAGATGAAGCACATGACATAATGCGCTTCCTATCGCATAGATGGGGTATTATGTGCATTTTTAAAAATGGCGGCATGGGGACCTATGCAGTACAGAGGTAGGAATAATGAGGCAAGTATGTAGAACGTCACAAGGATATAGGTAAGTGTGACTTTATTTCCCCGGTTTATTTCAGGTTTAAATGTTTATAGATTAGGGACCGGGATGGTGAAGGGAAGGTCCTCTATAGAAACCTGTAGTAAAAGATATATGCAAGCTGCAATTTCTAAATTCCTCCTGAAAATGCTAGTTGTCCGGCTGTGTTTTGGTTTCAGTATTGCCACCAACCCAGAGCAGACATGCAGACGCAAAGTCAGAATTTCTGATCTACATTTGCTTTGCATTTGCCTTTCAGGACAGTACATGCCTCCTGCAGATCTGATTGGTAGCCCAATGGCCAACTGAAGGAGTGCATATGGTATACTGACAACGGTGCTGTTGATTTCAAGGGAGTGGCTTAGCACGGTCAGCCTGAAACAGGAAGGACTGTTACTGGCAGGATCTCCTGGTAACATTTTTTTGCAACAGATTCCCAAAAAAGATTTGCTTAGTGAGTCATGACATACAAGGGATAAGTTCACCTTTCGTAACATGTTACACCCATATACCGGTACATCTTACGTACAGTTGTGTTCAAAATAATAGCAGTGTGTTGAAAAAAGTGAACAGGTATTCCAGCCCAGGATAATTGGACTACATTCCACAGTTCTTCTCTATTTCTTGGTTTTGCCTCAGAAACTGCATTTTTTAAAGTCACCACACAAATTTTCTATTGGATTGAGATCCGGGAATTTGGCTGGCCACTACATAACATCAATCTTGTTGGTCTGGAACCAAGATGTTGCACGTTTACTGGTGTGTTTGGGGTTGTTGTCTTGTTGGAACACCCATTTCAAGGGCATTTCCTCTTCAGCATAAGGCAGCATGACCTCTTCAAGTATTCTGATGTATTCAAACTGATCCATGATCCCTGGTATGCGATAAATAGGCCCAACACCGTAGTATGGGAAACATCCCTATATCATTATGCTTGCACCACCATGCTTCACTGTCTTCACAGTGTACTGTGGCTTGAATTCAGTGTTTGGTGGTCGTCTGACAAACTGTCTCCGGCCACTAGACCCAAAAAGAACAATCTTCCTTTCATCAGTCCACAAAATGTTTCTCTTTAGGCCAGTCAATGTGCTCTTTGGCAAATTGTAACCTCTTCAGCACGTCTTTTTTTCAACAGTGGGACTTTGCGGGGGCTTCTTGCAGATAGCTTGGCTTCACATAGGCGTTTTTCTAATTGTAACAGTACTCACAGGGAACTTTACACCTTCTTTGATCTTCCTGGAGCTGATTGTTGGCTGAGTCCTTGCCATTTTGGCTATTCTTCTATCCATTCGAATGGTAGTTTTTCGCTTTCTTCCACGTCTTTCAGGTTTTGGTTGCCATTTTAAAGCATTTGCGATCATTTTAGCTGAGCAGCCTATCATTTTCTGCACTTCTTTATATGTTTTCCCCTCTCCAATCAACTTTTTAATCAGGGTACGCAGTTCTTCTGAACAATGTCTGGAACGACCCATTTTCCTCAGAATTTCAGAGAGAAATGCACTGTAACCAGCATGTACAACATTTGCTGCCTTCCTTCCTTAAATAAGGGCAATAATTGCCACCTGTTTTTCAAAGAATGAATGACCTCACTAATAGAATGGGGGATGTTCTCCTTCCTGCTGGCTGTCATAAAAAAAAAAAAAAAAAAACCACGCCTGTGCGGGGCTCCACACGCCCAGATGTGTCATTCAGTCACAGTGTTCTGTAAATGAATTAACTACTAGTCCCAACAGCCTTTGAAGCTCTTGGCTTGTAGTTCTCAATGAACTATCACAGTGCTGTAGAGCGCCATGGTAGTTCATTGAATCGTCCTGTCAGTATATCTGCTTGCTCGTATATCTAGTATGGACAGGTCTGCAGGAGACCTGCATGGCACCAGCGATCTGCTGATCACTGGTGCAATGCTTTAGAGGCTCCAGAAATAAAAAATAATAAATGCACATTTTTTTACCTGCAAAAAATGTTAATTTATTATTTTTTTGTAAAAAGGTGAACATATCCTTTTAAAGAAGTACAGCCAAAGCTTGTTTGGCTGTACTTCCCCTGTGGATTACAGGAGTACAGTGGTTCTGCACTCCTGTGACCCATTTTCAGCTGGCAGTGGGCTAAAGTACGCTTTTGGCTGACATCACTCATCGGGTCTAGGCTGGGGAAATATTGTAACCATATGGTCAGGATCCACCCAGGAGCCTGGACTGGCACCTGCCGATCTGCTGAGTGCCTGAGCTAGGTGCTCCTGCTCCCCCCCAGATTGCAGCGCAGACAGTGGTGGCTGACATCCACCTAGGTACGTATGATTTAAAATATATACCGTATTTTTTGCTCCATAAGACGCACTTTTTTTCCCCCAAAAAAGGGGGGAAAATGTCAGTGCGTCTTATGGAGCGAATATAGAGTGGCCGGTCCGGTATTTCCACCGCCGCCGTGTCAGAATACAGGGCCGGCCGCTCAGCTCTGCAGTGGAACCTTACCTGTTCCTCTATCCAGCGGCGCGCTGTCTTCCCGGCTTCTGTAGTGTGCGTGACAGTCGGGTCCCAAGTGCGCATGCGCAAGAAGCGGTGCTCTTTGTGAATGGTAAGGCGGTACCTGGGACACATGACAGATCCCAGAAGCCGCCGGACCAATCACAAAGCGCAGCGCTTCTCGCGCATGCGCCCTGGGCATCCGGCTGTCCGCCGAGCGCCCAGACTACAGAAGTCGGGAAGACAGCGCGCGGCTGGATAGAGGAACAGGTAAGATCAAAGAAAAACTGCGGAAGTAAGAGCGGGTACCTGTCAAATTCAGGTACCCGCTCCCCCTCCCTCCCCAAAGGTCAGCAGTCATCTCCTGTACTGTCCACAGTCTCTGGTCATCCCTGTGCTGTCCTCAGTCTCTGGTCATCCCTGTGCTGTCCTCAGTCTCTGGTCATCCCTGTGCTGTCCTCAGTCTCTGGTCATCCCTGTGCTGTCCGCAGTCTCTGGTCATCCCTGTGCTGTCCGCAGTCTCTGGTCATCCCTGTGCTGTCCGCAGTCTCTGGTCATCCCTGTGCTGTCCGCAGTCACTGGTCATCCCTGTGCTGTCCGCAGTCACTGGTCATCCCTGTGCTGTCCGCAGTCACTGGTCATCCCTGTGCTGTCCGCAGTCACTGGTCATCCCTGTGCTGTCCGCAGTCTCTGGTCATCCCTGTGCTGTCCGCAGTCACTGGTCATCCCTGTGCTGTCCGCAGTCACTGGTCATCCCTGTGCTGTCCGCAGTCACTGGTCATCCCTGTGCTGTCCGCAGTCTCTGGTCATCCCTGTGCTGTCCGCAGTCTCTGGTCATCCCTGTGCTGTCCGCAGTCTCTGGTCATCCCTGTGCTGTCCGCAGTCTCTGGTCATCCCTGTGCTGTCCGCAGTCACTGGTCATCCCTGTACTGTCCGCAGTCTCTGGTCATCTCCTCTACTATGTCTGCAGTCCATTAGTTCAGAATTTTTTCCCCCTGTTTTCTGCCTCTAAAACCTAGGTGCGTCTTATGGTCAGGTGCGTCTTATGGAGCGAAAAATACGGTATATATATAAATATTCCCATACTTCTCTATATTTGGGCTTTACATACACTTATATATAACATAAACACTTACATATATACGCTAAATACCTGTATGTTCCTAGCCTGGTCCTTTGTTCACTTTCAGGGCCCTTTCACACGGACGGTTGGGATCTTGGTGATTACAGTTGGATAGCACAATATCCACAGCTTGTGATCCTATCATAGACGATGATGTCTCCTCTCCTAGACAAATTCCCAACCTAAAGTTATAATCAAAATGGTGGAAAATTGATAGAAGAGAAGCTTTAAAATCTTGTTAGAATCTAATGCACCATTTTCCAACCTATCCAGGCAATATTTCATGCAACCACATCTAAAGTGTATGCATATTGGATCTTCTGTGAGCCCATACATGTAGATATCTGTGAATTTATCTCTAAGCAGGTTGTATAGTCAGACTGTAAAATGAATGGCCTGCTTATTTTTTAAATCTAAGAAGATTTTAAGGTGTCTGATATGGTTTTAACATTAAAAATCATATTCTCTATGGCTGGAGATGTACACTTTAAAATGTTGTGTGTGTGGTGCAATCTTACTGTATAGAATTACCAACAACTTGTACTGTTTTTTATTCTGTGTGCTGCAACATTGTGCAAATATTTTACAATCCAATAAAAAAAATCATGAAAATGGGATTGTAACAAGTTATAGTCTCTGATAGCTGGCCACTGCATTACTTTTGTTGCAGACAAATCTTTTCTTTTTTTGGGATTGTGTGCTGACCAATCAGGAGGTGAACAATGCCCCACACTGTGTTCTTTGTGTGTTTTCTAACCAATTTCTATGAGAGCTTTTGTGTCATTGTAAAGAATCCCACAGAAAATGCTGAATTGTGCTTTTGGCTACAGTAGAGGAACATTTTGTCATCAAAGGACACTTTCTATTTGGCTGTGTTGTCTCGCTGAGTGTGCAGATGGCCGCGGCGCTGCCCTTTTCTTAGTACCTGTAGGTGGTATTAAGTTCATCTCCATCTGTAATCGTGTGACAGTCAGATGTCTAATCCTATAACAGGACACTCACACCAGCAGCCTAGTTTCCAGCTCCTGTGCTAGAAGAGGTTGCCGCAGGCACCGGTGTCACCATGAAGGCCCTTTTCCTCCTCAGCCTGGTCCTCGCTCTACCTCTGAGCAGTAAGTGCAATCTCACTCCAGTTTTGTTGTACCATGTGTAAGGGGTAAGCACACCAAAAATTAATTGTTCACTTGCGAGTGATCACTAGTGGGATGAAGCATCCGCTGGCTCCTTATAGCTCTTAGGGGGCTTCGGCATTTCTGCCCTTTCCCCTTTTTCAGGCCATAAGGTCTCACTTCTCCTGAATCTATAATGACTCCTAAGGGCTGTGCAAGCCCTCCACAAAGATCTTCTGGCTGGCATCACTAAGAGATATATGGCACCTTTGGCTTACCCATCCCACCAGTATTTACCAAAACTAAAAATTTGTCATATTTGGGTGGATAAATTCCTTAATTCTGTAAACATTAACACTATTCTGATGGATAAATTCAGAGTGCATGCTATGTGGATTTCTCAAGTAATGGAACCATTGCAGATGTCTCTTGCACTATCTGGAAGCAATAACAACAGGAATCAAAAATTGTTCAACATTCTGGAGACTATCTGGATGTTCAGGATTTGTTTAGCAATAGAAAAAGGCTGCTTTTTAAAAAATTATAAGGACGAGAAAATTTTTGGGGACATTTGGAAAGGTTTGTATATTCTTGTTAAAAGTTTAATACTCCTTTAACTACACATGGTTGTCTATGCAAGTGACCATGATGCCCATGATTTCTAAAAGTACCACCATCATGCGAAGTAGTAAGAAGCTGGTGTAGTCAGTGGTGTATTGCCGAATAGCCAACCTTCATAATAGTAATTTAGGTCATGGAGGAAGATGATATGAGATCTAATTTACAGGTGACCGTATAGGGGCAGATGTTCATCTAAGACAACTAAAAAGCTGGAAACGAAGTAACTGTCCATGACAAAGAGAGACTCATGTGGGGGTACCTGGCACCTTTTACCTTTTTCATTTAATTTAATCCGTTTTCCAGGCCAGTGATTATTATCCCCCGTGGTTGTGTCCAATTGCTACTTCCACAGCTGACATAAAAGCCTATACACACGATAAGAAAATTGTATGAAAATTTCCACACGAGGAACAATCGGTTGATTATCTGTTCGTTAGTATAGTGCTTTTGATGATTTTCCGATCAATTCGGACGACAAAAAGCGAGGGTGCAAGCTAGAAAATTGTTTGCGTATGTGAACACAATGACCGATTTTCATTCAATGTGTACAGTAATCGTACGGAACTAATCAAAAAACAAAAGCCATGCATGATCAGAAGCAAAGAACGACCCCACACTTCCTCTTCTGCTGTATGTAGGTACATTTGCCTTTGTTGGTTGAGAATTTCCGTACAAGGTAAAACTGTTGTCAGTTACATCATGATAAGCACCTTCGTGGAAAATCAGACAATAGTTCGTCCAATTTTATTATAGTGTGTACTGGGCTTTACATACAAATGACTGATTTTAAGCACTGTATATATGCAAGCAACGTAGTGACCATTATATAGTGATCACAGTCACCCTCTTTGGTATCTTTTAAAGTGTATTTCCATTTTTGCAGCCAAATTGTGATAACAGCCACTTTATATATGTTACACATCCCTTTTCACATAACAAAACCTTTAAAAAAATATTAAAATTTGCTACTCACCTTTTTTATTTGCTGAAAAAATCCTATAAAAATGTGACTAAGCTTTCCCCTTCTATGTAATGTTAAGGAGGGGGGTTCACCATGATTAACCGTGTCTGTACTAACAGGGTTATTTAAAGGGTTAAAGAGCTCAATGGTCCATTGTATGTTACATATGTATGTCCCTGTAAAAAAAATGGTCTCTAACGTGTCCTTATAGCAGCCTTAAGCCCTATACACACAGGCCGAATATTGGCTGGTTCAAGAGAAACCAGCCGACATTCGGCCCGTGTGTACACCAACTTGTCTGACAGAAGCCAGCTGAACGGCTGGCTTCTGTTGAACAGACATGCTGGAAAACCAGAATCCGATAGGTATCCAATCAGTGCTGGTAGCCAATGACTGCGAGTGCTGACCGGAGTGTTCTGGCATGGAGCATTTCCTCTATCAGGACGCAATAGCTCAGCGGGGAGATCGCTGTACTAACTATGTGATGTTAGTCCTTCCGGGCTGGGTTGAACAAAAAAAAAAAAAACTGATAGTGTGTACCCACCATTACTCAACCATTTTAACATGGAGGAACCCTTGAAATACCTCTCTGGCTCTGGTCTTAGGGACTCCCTACTAATTATTATTATACAGGATTTATATAGCTCCAACAGTTTGCTCAGTGCTTTAGAATATAACGGGAGACAATACAGCAACAATACAGTTCAATACAAGAGGGATAGGAGGGCCCTGATCCTGGGAGCTTACAATCTAGGAGTAATAATTACTATATCTACAGTTCATGGTACATTAGTCAGTGGGAAGACTGCTCCTTCCATTTGTGGTCATTGGGAAAAATTCCCCCTTACAGCTAGTTAAGAAGATCAGTAGTGTTAATGTTTACTCACCTGAGAATCATAAACTGCTCCTTGCTCAAGGAACCCTTAACAATGTCCCCAGGAACTCTGGTTGAGAAAGGCTGCCCTATAGTGCACCGTTCAGCAAGTTATTTTGGAAAATGAGAGGCCTATAGAGCTCTGTGTATAACAATGCTCCAAACAAACAACCAGAAAGCTAAGAAATATAATAAAAAATATATGTTTAGTCATGCTGTGTGAATGAGAACACATAACCAACATCTAGTGTAGGGTTTCTCAAGGTTGGCTGCAAAGGTGGAAATACACGTTAAGGTTATCTTTGCCATAAGGGACAGAAGGAAGCAGATTAATATTCAAATATGATTTCTAGGCAGCATCTTTTTATCAGGTGACCACTTCAAAGTGACAGTGATTAACGACCACCTGAAATAAAAAAGGGCCTTAGCTATACAGTTTCACTGTGATTTTTTTTTTTGGTGGGTTGATTAGTGCAACTTCTGGAGTCGATGAATTACCACTTTTAGAATAAAACAACAAAATGTATTTAAGAAAATAATTTCTTTCTAAAATGTTATTGAGTTTTTAAACGCTTAACATCCTTAATTGGGGTTGAGTATTTATGCTCGGTGTCCACTATGGGGCGCTCTTATGTAATAGGACAAGGTGAATATTCTCTGCAGCTTCTCTACAATGTATTCAGTTCTCCATTAGATGAATCGCCTGCATTTGTTCTTTGCTGCAACTTGATGGCCTTCATGCACACTGGACATTTGGCCATGTCTCCTAGGCGCCTTTCCTCCTGGCAGAAGTGTTTTGGCAGAATATACACTTGATGCTTGCAAACGCGTGTAATGAGTTTGGGCGAGTCAAGCGCTTGGGTGTTAATTCATTTAATTGGCCAGAATTCATTCTAGCTGCTGAAATGAATTAACGATCAAGCGCTAAACGCACCTAGAGTTCACGTCAGGGGCGGACTGACCATTTGGAAACTCAGGCACTGCCTGAGGGCCCCGGGTTAGTAGGGGGCCCCATGAGTTGCCCCTGGTACCTTTTTTCATAGGCTTTTTTGAGTTTGGACAAGGACACAGGGGCCCCATGATCCCCTATTGCCTGGGGGCCCCATGAGTTGTCAGTCCACCTCTGGTTAACGCACGTTTATATATGTCTTTGTTTTTTTCTGCCAAAATGCTGCTGCTCCTTAATGTGCTGGATGTTTTTTTTTCTGTTTTTGTTTTGTTTTTGTCTGTCTCTAAACACCTTTGTGTGTGTGTATGGACACTAACATACAGGGGAGTTTAAGGGCAAAAAAACAAAAACACCACATGCCCCTTACAGCCACATTAAAAGGCATCCAGTGCTCATGAGGCCAAATTCTCAGCTTCATCAAGATGTCAGGACAAGCATTATTTTTCTATGTCTTTACCTACTTGCCTTCCTGAGGATTTACCCCCCTTCCCTTTTTAAATTTTGCACTATAAACAAAAAAGACCAACAATTTTGAGAAAGAAAACAATATTTTTGACTTTTTGCTATTAAACATGTCCAGTAAAAAAAATAATCAAATTTCATCATAAATTTAGGCCAAAATGTATTCTGCTCCATGTCTTTGCTAAAAAATATCCCAATACGTGAAAATTAATTGGTTTACAAGTGGCGGTTTATTAATTAATTATTAATTAAATGTGTAAATTAATTGGTTTATAAAGTTATAGCGTTTACAAATGGCGGTAGACATACTGGAATTTTTTTTCTTACTAGTAATGTCGGCAATCAGCAACTTATTGCGGGACTGCAGCGAGCATTCTGACACTGGGGGGAACTGACTTGGTGTCACGGACATCCCCAGTGACACCTTATACAGTGATCAGTGCTAATAAAAAATACTGACACTGTAGTAATGGCACTAGGCAGGAAGGGGTTAACATGTGGGGCGATCAAAGGGTTAACTGTGTGCTATTTCATAGTAAGCTGTGTGTGAGCTTCACTGTAAGCACACTGCTTTGTATGGCTCTGCTATTCAGAACCATACAAAGCAGTTTTCAGGAGCTGACAGGGGAGAGATCTGTGTTGTTTATACACAGATCTCTCCCTCTTCAGAGATACTCTGCGATTACCGGGTGCCGGCGAGTAATCACAGCTGAGGCCGTGAATGGTGGTGCGGGTAGAGCGCATGCGCCCCCCCTTACCCGGAGCTGCAAAATCACGCACGTGATTTTGCGCACCCGTGCCGCCCTGTTGCAGTATTTCTGCTATAGGGCAGTGTGGAACTGGTTAAAGCGGTATTAAATCTTCTAAAGAAAAAAAAAAGTTTCCTCCTGCAAGGTACTATAATGTGCTAGTATACGTCGCATGGCCATCTGACTCGCCATGCCACAATGATGTCACCGCCACGCATGTGCGCATTGAGCACCAGGCACGGCACAGAGCTGCTGCTAGCTGGAATACCTCGTAAGCAGTGCACTTTTAGGAGATATTCATTTTACCTACAGGTAGTTTTATTTTATTGTCTAAATACAGCTTACCTGTAGGTAAAAATCAAGGTAGAGAGTTTCCGATCACTTTAA